CCCTAAGGTAGGCCAAGGTACCCTAAGGGAGGGCAAGGTAGCCTAAGGTAGGTCAAGGTACCCTAAGTGAGGCCAAGGTACCCTAAGGGAGGCCAAGGTACCCTAAGGTAGGTCAGGGTACGCTAAGGTAGGCCAAGGTACCCTAAGGTAGGCCAAGGTACGCTAAGGGAGGCCAAGGTAGCCTAAGGGAGGCCAAGGTAGCCTAATGGAGGCCAAGGTACGCTAAGGTAGGTCAAGGTACGCTAAGGTAGGCCACGGTACCATAAGGTAGGCCAAGGTACCCTAAAGTAGGCCAAGGTAGCCTAAGGGAGGTCAAGGTACCCTAAGGGAGGCCAAGGTACCCTAAGGGAGGCCAAGGTACCCTAAGGTAGGCCAAGGTACCCTAAGGGAGGCCAAGGTAGCCTAAGGGAGGTCAAGGTACGCTAAAGTAGGCCAAGTTACGCTAAGGTAGGCCAAGGTACCCTAAGGTAGGCCAAGGTACCCTAAGGTAGGCCGAGGTACCCTAAAGTAGGCCAAGGTACCCTAAGGGAGGCCAAGGTAGCCTAAGGGAGGTCAAGGTACCCTAAGGGAGGCCAAGGTACCCTAAGGTAGGCCAAGGTACCCTAAGGGAGGCCAAGGTACCCTAAGGGAGGCCAAGGTACCCTAAGGGAGCCTAAGGTAGGCCAGGGTACCCTAAGGTAGGCCAAGGTACCCTAAGGGAGGCCAAGGTAGCCTAAGGTAGGTCAAGGTAGCCTAAGGTAGGCCAAGGTACCCTAAGTGAGGGAAAGGTACCCTAAAGTACTACAAGGTACCCTAAGGTGCTCCAAGGTACCCCAAGGTAGACTAATGTACCCTAGTACAGCCTAAGGTACCCTAATGTCATTGTATTTTGATATACTATAATGAGGGCTAGACTAAGTCTCTAGCAAACAAATCGGTTAAAGTGGAATTTTGCTCCTCGGTAAATAGCTTTTAATAATCAATAAAATGAAATGAATGTTGTGCCTTGTTCTCCAATAAAGTTATGCAAAATGTACGTAATTCTTCTGTAATCACTTATATTAAATATCTACGCGCAAGCATTGCAGCCCCTAATTTCCTATCGTATTACACTTGCAAGAGTTGCGAAAACAGTCGGTTCTGATTGGACATGTTCAACTGTGCGCGAACTTTTGACCTTGATACAATGATACGCCAAAGAATTAAAGATTATATTTATATATTTATTATTGACACGCGGTGCTCATAAAATGATTCGCCAATTTTTCAAGTCTGTTTATTACAATAAACAACAAGATAAATGTCATTGAGTAAATTGATTTATCGCGAAGTAACAAAGACAACAATTATTCCAATTAATAAAGCGTTTGCTGCGTTTCTGGTTTTACGTTATTTCTAGATGGCAGACTATTAAGTCACGGTAAGTGTCATGAAATTAAACGCGCGCTGAAATATTTATTTGTCAATTGCTGTATAGCTGTTATGGTATATGTTATATGTAGCGTATAAGGGGCGGTCACGGATTCTACTAAAACCTCACGGTGAGCTCACACTCACAGCTTGTTAATATCTCACGGATTTTGCAAATAATACACTGGTTCTTAAATTTGTTGGCTTTGTTGCACATTTTAACTATTAAGAGTGACTTCATTAAGTTTACTTGCGTCAAATTACATAAAATTTTTCCTTCTGAAATACATAATCAAAACATCGCTACATGCAACCTCGTGGGTATTCTGTATTCAACAACATGTTTTTGTTTAATATAAATAAAAGCTACCAAAACTTGTGTGTATAAAGTACAGAAGACTCTGAAAATGCCATTTCCAACGATTTCGAGACTCCATATTTTCAAAAAAATTCCGCTCGGCGCCAACCATGGTCGTGGGTCCTCAAAACAAAATCTCACGCATGTTTTTCGCCAAAGTTGGCAACTATGGGATAATGCATGCAGCATGTACTGATCCACGACAATATATGCTCGCATTTAGTCATTTTATTCTTAATAGACCTTACCGATTATTCTCTTTTACACAGCATCATTTGCCCTCGTTTCCGTTAACTTATTTTATTAAAAAGCATGTCAGGGGCAGACAAAGATTATATTCCCATGTTTTCCTGGACGAATTTGTTTCTTGCTATTCTTAGGCTCAATAACAAAGTAATTTTCAATCATACTAAGCACAAAACATGAGTAAGTAGTTGACATCATTGAAAATGAGGCCATTGGATAAAACACATTCTTTCGCTTCAAGTGCCACGTGGTCGTCGGTAAAACTTAGATGTTACACCCCCCCCCCAAGTTAAAAAGGTCACGCTACGCCCCTGGACGCAAAAATGCCGTTCCTGGGGGTGACGACGCTGCACGCAAAATTTAACAGGCCAACTAGGGACTGAATTTCGCGCCAAGTAACTTTTTGCGCCTCAAAAATTCGCTGATAAACTCCACGCATTTTTGCAGCTTATCGCGAGGTAAACGCGCTTCAAGCTTAATGGTATCAAGCTCAATTCCGGCGAAAGATAGGGTTGTCGAAGGCCTAAATGTTTTCTATGGGGCCAGCGGCAGACCAATAAATGCACAAAATTCTAGAAAGCGATGTAACAGAGTCTGACAGGAGTCATAATTAAGAGGGCGAAATAAGCAAAAAATCGTCAAGTAAATGTAAAATATAGTCGATATCGAGTTTGTGTTGAGTAATCCATTGAAGCGCTGTACTAAAAACTTCAAAGGTTTTGCAAGAACTGGCAGCACCCATAGGCAAGCAGCGATCGAAATAATACAGTCCGCGCGCCATTTCATACCCAACAGATAATGGTCGGAGGGTCGAACTGGTATAATGCGAAAAGCGTTCTTCACGTCAGTTTTTGCAAGAAAACATCCAGGTCCCGCGAGTTTAATTAAACGAATAGCATCTGCAACTGTGGCATAGTGCATGCTAGTGTTTTCGATAGCTATGCCATCGTTGACAGAAGAACCGCGCGGGAAGGACAAATGGTGAATCAAACTAAATAAAATTAAACAGGATCTGGTGACATAAAAGTGTAAAAGATATAGCCAACAACCGAAGATAACAGACTAACAACTAGGAAGGCTTGCTAAAGCCTTAAGAATAGCACCGCGATAACAGAGATACAGCGTGTATTGCGCTCTACGATTGAAATGAACACCGTCTGGTAGAAACGGAGATTTTACGCGCTGTAAGAATCCCTTATGACTCCAGCAAAACACGTTGGGAACACCGTCCAGAACGACTTCTAAATATTGGTTCAAAATAAACGCCTGCCTGTTGAACTCCGGGGTAGCTGCCCGATGTGTAATGAGGCAAAACCCTACTATCTGAACATAAGGGAGCTGAAGTAAAAGATGAACGAGGTCATCGATTTTGGAACCCACTACTTCGGGTTTGCTATATGGCTAAGGTCGTTAGTACCAACTTCCAAAATTACAATGGCAGGCCGAAATGAGCGAACTTTATCTAAATCGAACGCGATCAACTTGTCTACTGTGCGTCCCCCAATTCCATGCAATTTTACGGAGGCCCTTTGTATATTAAAACTAACCAAGTTTATTGTTTATTCCAAACGTATTGAACGGCATAAACATCTAAGTTGAATGTTTGTCACGAACATATTCAACGGCAAACCACCCAAGTTGAATGGTTACGCCGAATACAGTCAACGGTATAACCATCCAAGTTGAATGTTTATGCCGAACATATTCAACGGCATAAACATCTAACTTGAATGGTTATGCCGAAGACAGTCAACGGCATAACCATCCAAGTTGAATGTTTATCCCAAACGTATTCAACGGCATAAACATCTAAGTTGAATGTTTATGCCGAACATGTTCAACGCCATAAACATCGAGGTTGAATGGTTATACCGAACGGAGTCAATGTCATAACCATCCAAGTTGGGCATGTACTAAAACACGGAACACTAATCCGGAACACCGGAACAGCCCGGAACAGCACGGAACAGCCCGGAACACCTACGGAACATGGCGGAACAGTCCGGAACACCTCCGGAACAGCCCGGAACACCTACGAAACAGCGCGGAACACCTCCGGAACTGCACGGATCAGCCCGGAACACCTACGGAACATGGCGGAACAGCACGGAACAGTCCGGAACACCTCCGGAACAGCACGGCACAGCCCGGAACACCTACGGAACATGGCGGAACAGCACGGAACAGCCCGGAACACCTCCGAAACAGCACGGAACAGCCAGGAACACCTACGGACAGCCCGGAACACCTACGGACAGCCCGGAACACCCAGGAACACCTCCGGAACAGCACAGAACAGCCAGGAACGCCTGCGGAACAGCCCAGAAAACCACTGGAATAGAACGGGATAGCCGGAAACAGCCCGGAAAACCACTGGAACACCTTTGGAGCTGTGGTTTTTTTTAACCATTTGGGCGCCAAATAAGGGCTATCTTTAAAATAGAGAGTGGGGGAATGCGTGAATGGGGGCCGGAATGCTACAATTTCATTAACTAATGACACGAATTAAAACGTTTGCCATGAACGTCTTTTGTTGTTTCGGAGTATATTCATAACTCGTACTCGTGTATACTGATAAAAATATTGAAAAGAGGCTAATATCTTAAAATATCTGTTTGTTAAAAAGAATACGTCTGGACTCAAACTTTGCTTCATATATTTAACTTAATATATAGAGGATATTTCACGGTGGCGCGGAAATATAACTTTTATTTTCGAGTGGTGAAAACAATATTTTACGAACGAGCGTAGCGAGTGAGTAAAATATTGTTTTCAACACGAGAAAATAAAAGTCATATTTCCCAAGCCACCGTGAAATGTTCTTTTTATTATATGGATAAAAGTTCAAGCAAAAATAAAAAACGTATGACTTTATTCAATGAAAAGATATACAAAGTGAATTTTATTACTTAGCCTCAGGCTCAGGATTAAACAATTTAGGCTATATTACGTTAATTAAAAAAACGTCGTTAAAACACATTAACATTGTTAAAAAAAACTCATCTTTTTACTGGCTTTCTTCACTTGAAGATTCGAGAATTATTCTTCTTCTATTAACTGTTGAAACGGTGTCCGAGCTCTCCATGACTATAGAAGAGGAATTCGGCTGCAGTAGATTAATGTTTACAGTTTGAACGTTACAGTTCTGAAGAAAACTTGGAAGATTTCCCAAAGATGTGTTACCAGAAGTGCTGTTTCGTACAAATGAAGTGCTAAAATGAGATTTCTGAACGCTGGCGCTGCAGGTTGAATTGGACAAAATACCAGAGATTTGTTGTTGTCTAGTCGCGGACATGGTTGAATAGTTGTTTATCGAGCTCACGTTTTTATGTTCTGTTATTTGCATGATCTCATTTGCAGGGATTTCGTTGTCTACTAGCTTCTGAATCAGGTGTTTTCGTGTGCTGTGGTTTACGATTTTTCTATCCGTTTCCATGCCAGCTGCTGTTTGCATGGTTTTCATCATGTTTCGTAGAGAATTAACACCAAGAGCGCTAGTTTTGAACCACCTTTTTCCAGGCTTTGGAATCTCGGTATTTATAGCAAGATAAAATGGTGAGCTATGTCCACACATCTCGGCTGGTCGTTCCTCTTTGTATTTTAGATAAGCAGTGACTGGACACCTCTCGGGGTTTTCTTTATTTTCGTACATAACAGGCTTCACTTCACGTCGATTTCGAGGGTTCTCTCCGGTGCGAGTTTTAGTTTGTCTTTCCGTGGTAAACTGAATAAAACGAGTCCCGGACGAGTCAGTTTTCAACTGCAGATCTCCCCAGGATAAGTCTCGTTGCTCTTTACCAGGTCGCATTCCGAAGAAAACACAATTATTTAACCACACTATGTTGAGAAGCGGTCGGGGAGCGTGGATTCCCAACACTTTTTTTGCGTACAAGTCGTTAATATCGTCGTCGGTTAGCGGCTCAGCAGCGTTTGGTTTATTTCCTTTGCCGTGCGATTTCAGTTCCCTTTGTTTCTTTTTTAAGATGTCTCGGACCCCTAAAAACGCAGTATCGTGTAGAATTGAAGCTCCATAATTGTTTTGCCTTAGGTAACGATCAATACTTTGAAGCATTGCCCTTATTGAAGTGGGCTCGTACTCTCCTCCATGTCGTTTCTTCACTGCCAAAATAAATTTCATCAAGATGTTTTGTAGCTCACCGTACGGCAACAATGTTATGTCTCTTCGCTCGTTTATCGAGGCTAAATAGTCGCTGAAGATCGCCAAATCGGACTTAGTCTTCCTTTTTGTGTTTTCATTTTCATTTTCTTCAGAAAACCTTGCCAAATCAGCGTCGGAAACATCAACAAAATGTCGAGAAGTTGCCATATTGTATATTCAACAACAGAAAAGGTAAAATGGCGGGAATTAGCGTGGGTCCCGCGCGAGACGTTCCCGCGTAAGATATGATTTCATATTTCACTATAGTGAAATACGGGAAATATCAGTGGCGTATTTTACGGTATTTTACTCATATCCATATAATATAATCTAGTATATACATATTGTATTAACATATAGTTGCACCAAACAAAGTATGAAAATAAGTTTTTATCAGGCAATGTACAGTGGAAACCTGAATTAACGTTCATTTTCATATGAAAGCTTCAATGGGAGAGTCCTCTTGGTTCAACCAGAATTCCAACAACTTTTCAAGTTAGAACAAGTCCAAAGGCTTGTTGGGGAGTTTGGCTGGGTCCTTTAATTTGGATGAAAAAGAATAGTAGGTGGAACAGTGTTTTCTTCAAACTAACTATACATTTTTGCCGGCCGAGTTTTGTTGCTTAGCTTATTATAGAGCTCAGTATATATATGCCCTAATTGTCAGTGGCCGGTTGTAGAAAATCCGCTTAGCGTTTAGATTATAGTCTAAATATTTTAATTTGAAAAGAACAATTAAAGCAACATGTTTCATGTGAAGAGTTTAAATTTTGACGCCTGTGCGAAAATGTAATGTTTTAGGGTACTGATGAGCACTAAGCACTTTGTCCGGCTTTATCGGCGTAGATCATATACTGCATCAAAAATGCTATACCGTAGACTATTTCTCAATTAGGTTTCACATTGACCGCAGACACTGTTAAGCCTAGTTTCCATTTGGTCGTTAGTTGTCGCTGGCACGACAAGTGGCTGATGTAACAGAGTGTCAACAAAACTTTATAAAACTCTGCAATCATTAAGACTGATTTGCATATAACACACAAAAAGACTATTATTATAATAGACTATTTCACATCTACCGCTTGTCGTGCCAGCGACAACTAACGACCAAATGGAAACTAGGCTTTAGACTCAGAGACAACGTTTTTGAGTACTTATAAGCACTGTACCTCAACATGGTGTTATTCTACAGCGTAATTCGGAATGGTCTATTAGTTTTTGCTCTTAATTCGGGTCTCCACTGTACATATCCTGACAAACGTATTTTTATATTTTGTTTTGTTTAATTATGTTATTACAATACTAGATTATATTAAATATATGAAACCGGCAAAGGCTTGAGTCCTGACCTATTTTTTTAACAAACGTTAGACAGTTGTGAAAATCACTAAAAACACGAATATAAAAAATATACTCTGAAACAACAAAATACGTTCATGGCATACGTTTTAATGCGTATCATATTAATGAAGTTGTAGCATTCCCCCAATTCCCGCATTTCCCCATTCATTTAAAGATAGCCCCAAATTCGAGCCCTAATTGGCGCTTAAATGGTTAAAAGCCACAGCTCCGGAGGTGTTCCGGTGGTTTTCCGGTGTTCCGGGCTGTTCCGTGCTGTTCCGCAAGCGTTCCGTGCTGTTCCGGAGGTGTTTTGGGCCGTTTCGGAGGTGTTCCGGACTGTTCCGTGCTGTTCCGCCATGTTCGGTAGGTGTTCCGGACTGTTCCGTACGTGTTCCGCGCTGTTCCGTGCTGTTCCGGAGGTGTTCCGCCATGTTCCGTAGGTGTTCCGGACTGTTCCGTAGGTGTTCCGGACTGTTCCGTACGTGTCCCGCGCTGTTCCGCGCTGTTCCGTGCTGTTCCGCCATGTTCCGGACTGTTCCGTAGGTGTTCCGGACTGTTCCGTAGGTGTTCCGTGCTGTTCCGGAGGTGTTCCGAGCTATTCCGTGCTGTTCCGGTGTTCCGGATTAGTGTTCCGTGTTTTAGTACATGCCTCCAAGTTGAATGCAAGTTGAATGGTTATGCCGAAGACAGTCAATGGCATAACCATCCAAGTTGAGTGGTTATGCCGAAGACAGTCAACGGCATAACTATGCAAGTTGAGTGGTTATGCCGAAGACAGTCAACGGTATAATCAATCAAGTTGAATGGTTATGCCGAAGACAGTAAACGGCAAAACCAACCATACTGAGTGGTTATGCCGAAGACAGTCAATGGCATAACCATCCATGTTGAATGGTTATGCCGAAGACAGTCAACGGCATAACCACCAAGTTGAACGTTTATGCCGAACATATTCAACGGCATAAACATCTAAGTTGAATGTTTATGCCGAATGTATTCAACGGCATAAACATCTAAGTTGAATGTTTATGCCGAACAAATTCAACGGCATAAACATCTCAGTTGAATGTTTATGCCGAACATATCAACGGCATAAACATCTAAGTAGATTGTTTATGCCGAACATATTCAATGCCATATTAAACATCTAAGTTGAATGTTTGTGGCTCGAGATCACTAGTTCAGCTATGATCAATTCGCTATGTTCACGAATACGTGGTACAGAGGTAGAAACTAAAGACGTCAAATGAGTAAGGGATCGATCCTCACCGAAATATATTTTTATATTTTAGCACCAAGAAATATTTGGAAATTAATTTTTTTTTTCTGGAAAACTAATTTTTCAGGATGAAAACAAAAGGTATATTCCTACTTATTTTACCCAAATGTTTATGGCGAACATATTCAACGCACTAAACATCCATGCCAAATGGTTATGCAGAAGAAAGTCAACGGCATAAGCATACAAATGGAATGGTTATGCCGAAGCCAGTCAACGGAATAACAATCCAAGTTGAATGGTTACGCAGAAGACAAGTCAACGGCATAAGCATCAAAGTTGAATGGTTAGGCCGAAGACAGTCAACGGCCTAACCATATACAAGTTGAATGGTTATGCCGAAGACAGTCAACGGCATAACCATCCAAGTTGAGTGATTATGACGAAGACAATCAAGGGCATAACCATCCAAGTTGAATGTTTATGCCGAACATATTCAACGCCATAAGCATCCAAGTTGAATGGTTATGCCGAAGACAGTCAACGACATAACCATCAAAGTTGAGTGGTTATGCCGAAGACAATCAACGGCATAACCATCCAAGTGGAATGTTTATGCCGAACATATTCAACGGCATAAACTTGTAAGTTGAATGGTTATGCCGAAGACACTCAACGGCATAACCATCCGAGTTGATTGTTTATGCCGAACGTATTCAACGGCTTAGACATCTAAGTTGAATGTTTATGCCGAACATATTCAACGCCATAAACATCGAAGTTGAATGGTTATACCGAACGGAATCAATGTCATAACCAACCAAGTTGAGGGTTTATACCGAAGACAATCAACGACATAACCATGCAAGTTGAACGTTTTTGCAGAACATATTCAACGGAATAAACATCTAAGTTGAATGGTTATGCCGAAGACTGTCAAGGGCATAACCATCCAAGTTTAATGTTTATCCGGAACGTATTCAACGACATAAACATCTAAGTTGAATGTTTATGGATTGAGATTACTAGTGCTGCTATGATAAATTTGCTATATTCACGAACACGTGGTACAGCGGTAGGCCATGTACGTCAAATGAGTAAGGGATCGATCCTCGGCGAAGAAAGTTTTTATATTTTAGCACCAAGAAATATTTGGAAATTAATTCTTTTTTTTCACCAAAAATATTTTTTCAGTATGAAAGCAAAAGTTATATTTCTATTTACTTCACACAAATGTTTATGGCGAACATATTCAACGCCACAAGTTGAATCGTTATGCCGAAGACAGTTAACGGCATAACCATTCATGTCGAATTGTTATGTCGAAGACAGTTAACGGCATGACGTCATCCAAGTTGTATGTTTTTGCCAAAAATATTCAACGGCATAAACAGCTAAGTTGAATGTTTATGACGAACATTTTCAACGCCATAAACATCTATACGTTGAGTGATTATGCCAAAGAGAGGAAACAACAAAACCATCCAAGTTGACTGGTTATGCCGAACGTATTCAACGGCATAAACAACTACTAAGTTGAATGTCTATGCCTTATATATTCAACGACATGAACATCTAAGTTGAATGTTTGGCATTGCCGAACATATTCAACGACATAAACATCCAAGTTGAATGGTTATGAAGAAGACAGTCAACGGCATAATAATCCAAGTTGAGTGGATATGCCGAAGACAATCAACGGCATAACCATCTAAGTTGAATGTTTATGCCGAACATATTGAGCGGCATAAACATCTACAGTAAGTTGAATGTTTATGCCAAACATATATATTCAACGCCGTAAACATCGAAGTTGAATGGTTATACCGAACGGAGTCAATGTCATAACCATCCAAGTTGTATGTTTATGCCGAACACAGTCAACGGTATAACCATCCAAGTTGAATGGTTATGTCGAAGACAGTCAACGGCATAACCATCCAAGTTGAGTGGTTATGCCGAACATATTCAACGGCATAAACGTTGAATGTCTATGCCGAACATATTGATAGGCATAAACATCTGAGTTGAATGTTTATTCTGAAATTATTCAACGCCATAAACATCGAAGCTGAATGTTTATACAGAACGGAGTCAGTGTCATAACCATCCAAGTTGAATGGTTATTCCGAGAGAGTCAACGGCATAACCATTCAAGTTGAATATTTATGCCGAACGTATTCAACGGCATAAACATCTAACTTAGTTCTTCCATTTGAAAAGAGAGTTCGGCTATTTGAAAAGGGAGTTTGCCATTTCATAAGATATTTTTGCTATTTGAAAAGAGGGTCTTGCCATTTGAAAAGAGAGTTTTTCCATCTGAGAAGAGAGTTATGCAATTTGAAAGGAGAGT